TTATGAGAGAACGACTACACCGCGGAAACGATACGGGATAAGCCGGGCTGGACGTACGTAAAGAAAAATGGTACAACTACTGCGCAAGTAGTCCTCCCCCGTCCCTTCGCCTCTTCCTCCGCCACCTCCTTCAACCGACTCAGGCCCGCTATCTATGGTCCGAGGGTTGGGTGGTAAAAGCGGAGAGACACTTAAAGGATTTACGGGGCTGAGAACTCGAGACTCCGCTCCTCGGATCGGGGAAGTACGGGCGAAACTAAGTGCACGCTTTAAGAAGGAAAAAGAAGGTAAACGAGCGGCGCGTACATGGTCAATTCCGCTGTCGGGTTAAGCTCCCGATATGTGCGCCGTAATGTTTCGAGCGGATGTCGCGACTCGCTGATATTATTTGAGCGCACCTGAGACGCGAGGCTTGCCGCGCGAGGCGAGGCGCCGCTGCCCGGAAGGAGGAAACTACTGCGGGCCGGAGGGGGGGTTGAGGAATTAAAAATTAACCGGGGAACCGTGGCGCATACGGCGATGAGCCGCGGCGTAATTTAGAACCCTAGAGGAGGAGAGGCTCTAATATTTGCCGGATAAAAAGCAAATATTTGGACACTCGACGTGCGCGGTAAGTGGCGTTATTTCGACGGAGGAATAATAAAAGCCCGATAAACTGCAACCCATTGTGCACCGGCTTGACTATCGTTTGAGAGGGCGACCCTTGCCATCACCGGCATTGTTGTGGGCTATAACACAAAGCTCTCTCTCTTCCTCCGCACCTCTTGCCACTTCGTACACCATCCTCCCTTCCCTTGTCGCTCTTTCTCTCTCTCTCTCTCTCTCTCTCTCCCTTTCCATTCTTATTTCTCGAGTTTGCTTCTACCGGAGAGGATAACTCGTTCGTTGCAACGAGGAAAAGAGCATTATGGACGGAAACTCTACCGTGTAACGTAATTTCCCGTAAAGGGAACCGCAGAACAAAGCGTCGATTTATTTCGAGCCCGGCGATGGCAAGCTGCTGGAAAATTTATGTTGGAAATTTATGTTTTCAAGCCATTTATACACCGAGAGATTTATCATGCTATCGCGGATTTTAATCGATCGATCGCGCGACCGACGTTAACCATTATAACCGTATACGCGTAAATGCACGCGGGAAAACTGTCACGTACGTATCCGTGACACAAACGGCGAGGAGGTATCTCGGGCAAGTTTCGCGTGTGTAAGGAACGCGCCGAGTGTCGGACATAAAACCAAGCGATCCCTCGAAGTTGGCGGGGAAGTTCACTACTTTATCTCTGGCGATTCCGCGGGAGAACTCGCCCCTCATTGGCTTCCATGATACCGCGAGAGCGGCCGAGTCGGTGCTAACGTAGGAAACTTGGTCGGCCGCGGAGGATTCCGATTCCTTTTCCGCGGCGAGTACAGCGCAATGAGCGGATAAGAGGTCCGAAATCTCTCTTTTCCATTTTCCCCGGCTACAGGCGCAGCCAGCCAGTCGGCCGGCTCGCTCGAGCAAGCGTGTAACAGACACGCGAGCGAATGCGTGGGCGTGGAGAAAGGTCTTGCGGAGCCCGAGACGGCCAAAGCCACTTGAGCATTCCGCGTGAAGCCACGTGGCGGTATTTAAGACTCCGCTAATGCACCCACCGTGCGTGTGCACCTCGCCGAAATTGTTGGCGCGTTTACTTTGCGCCGGCCTGGATTCTGGGGCGCCTCCGCCGCGCGCCGCGAAAAAACTAACTAATGAGCGGAACACGCGGGGAACACTCGAAAGATTTCGCCCGCGCTCGTTTCCAGCCGATGTACACGCACCTCCAGCCGCGGTTCCGCCTCGAAATATTCGCCTCACCCCGGAGTAATGCGAAGAGTAACGAATTCACACCCGCTTCCTCGCGATTAGTTGAATTTGACGGGTCTCTCATCGTCGCTCTCGCATCGTTTGCCGTTGTTACCCGCGATTTCGTGACCGGAGAATTAGTTTGGCTGTGTCTACCTGGCAATGGACAAGTAAATGTGTTCCGGTGGAAGGAAACAACAGAATTTTTGGTTATAAGAACCAAATTCGGTATGTGAGAACTAGAAACGTTGTTTCCTCCGACCGAAACACGTTTGGTTGTTCATAGTCAGGTGGATCCAACTCATTTTCCAGTGTACTTTTACGCGTCGGAAGATCAAACGCGTTCCCCCGCTCTCGTGCGAGTAGCAAAATCAACTATCGTCGTGATGGCCGCGTGAATGTCGCGCGTGGACAATCGGAGTAAATAAATGCGAAAGTATAATTTAGTTGTACAATGTTGACACGGTAATTCCGGGTGGTCGCGGCTGAAAAATGTCAACGCGCGAGCCGGCGGTTTCAATTGACACATTAATTAGGGACAAGCGACGCATGTGTCTCGTTTGCATATCGCTTTTATCGTCTCCGCGTGTACCATTCCGAGCTCGGGACACAACGAGAGAAAGGTTACGGAGGGGTCGCTGGACCGGCGGAAACTTATAGCAAACCAGGCGGTAGGGACGGGGCTGAATGCTAAGCACGGCTAGTCGGTTACATTTGCTTGCCGCCTGGCTTCTTAATGAAAACCAACGGCATGGAAACGTCAGGTTTGCTTTGCCTTAAAATTGGAGGCACGATTCGCTTAGCACGGGTATTCGGAACGCAAACAGAATGAGGTTCAAATGCACGGCTAATTCGCTATGCTGTTTTACATCTTACACCACGATCCACGATCGGCTCTCGCTTTATATTCGCGAATTCCAAGTACGCGCGTATGTCGATACAAGCTGTGAAAGACCCTCGTGAAAAGTTTGTTGAGAGAAACATGGCAGATAGCTGAATTAAGTTAAAATTATTTTAGAATAAAACTATATTAAATTGAATTATATTATATTAAAATTAATATACAGGATATAACGTGACATACTGTACTAATTTAAGAAGAAGCATGTTTCTGATGTGAATTGAGTAGAAAATGTCCTATAAACATCGACCCGATTCGAAACGATTAACCATCTACAAATGTTTATAAATGACATCGTCATTAATGGGCTGTATTAATTAACTCAAGTATTAATTTTCCTTTCGTATATTAAATTTTTAATATTTATATTTCTTTCTTTACTTTTCATTTTTAATAAAAAATATTCCAAAAAATTACGCTATCATTTGTAAACTTTGAACGCTTGTAGATAATCGTCTCGAATTGGATTTATGTTTATAGGATATTTTTAGTTCAATCAGAATGTCAGAAACATGTTCCTTAAATTTGTAAAAAGTTCTCGGTAAGGCCTAATTTTATCAGCTGGGATTGACTAAAGACAACACAACATCCGCCCTCGTTTTTAAACTATGACTCTATATAATCTCTCTCTCTCTCTCTTTCTCTCTCTATTCCCAGGTCTATAATCTATCCCTCTATAATACAGACAGAAAATTGATATCCTTGGCTGCGATCAATGTCCGCGCAAACGGGTCTTAGGTACACTTCAACTACGAACGGTAAGGCGAGCTATAACAGCCTTCGCGATTGTCTACTTCATCGTGACTACTTATAAAGCGATAAAGCATCGTCTCGCGAAAAGAACCGTCCGCTCGTTTACCTTTTAACGATCGCAAGAGCCCGGACGCAATAACTCGACGGAAAAGTAACCGGAAGGGCCTCCGCGTTGCTCGTTACAGCGTCTACGCTTTTACACTCTCCGATACACTCGGCCTTAACTTTTTACTCTCTTCATCGGCCTTTACGGAAAATTAACGACGGCATGGCGGAGCGAGGTGCTCGATTAGAGGCTGAATATTTATGTTTACCCCTTCCTCCCGCCCTCGCCCCTTTTATGCGCCCACCCCATTATTTGCAAGAGAAAGTGCTTACCCGCGGCTGTCCCGGCAAAAACGCGATGTCTAATTATTCCTTCTTATTCCCTCAATCTTGTCAAGCTTCTTAGACCAATATCAGGCTTCGTCCGGAACACTTTTTCCGACGGAGCTTTATCATATTTACGATGTCGAGATGAATCGGGCCGGATTGTAAGAGAAAAGAGCCGTCCCGAGTCGAAATATTCATTCTACATTAACGTTGAATGCACGACGATCATCAATGACATCGACACTGTGATACTATCGGATTTTATTACGTGTAAGGTATAAATTACGTATAAAGTATAATTATATTCGAAAAATCAGTTGTATGGTCAATATAGAACTAATGAAACGAGGTCAAAAATATATGTGTCTCGGATTACATTTATTTATCACGTCTTTGATAATTCAATCGTCAGTTGATCTTTTGTACAATCAATGAAATTCATAGCGGCAGTCAACATATTTTACTCTGTATATTCCGCCGGATTTAAAGGAAAATCACGAAACATAAACATTGGCCATACAGGCTAGTGTCCTAAGTTGATGGTACAAGTATTCATTATCGCGTTTTTGCCATGTCAACGCGATTACAAAAAATCTGCTTCAGAATTATTTAATATTCATTTATCTCGATATTCTATTCTACATTTAAGTTTTATTTCGATAAAGAATATTCTTATATACTAGAACATTTTCTTATGTAACTTACAACTACAGATAGAATATAGTGATAAGCGAATGTTAGATCGTTAACGTGTACAAATAATGAGAGATTAAACGGGTGAATAAAACGATATATCTTATTTTCTCATAATCTGTTTTTTTTTAAGTTTCAGAGGTTTCAAAGAACGAAACCTTTGGTTCTTATAACAAAAGTATTTATTTGTCCATAGTCAAGCAAGAATTTAGTTGATTCAACTAAATGGGTTTCTCAGTGTATTTATCAAATTATGACACACTATAAATGTCGGCCTTTTATAGATACCAAATTTCAATTAGGATATTTCCTTATTCTCATAACATGTTCATCAAACGTTCATAAAAATCGCTCATAAAAATCGAAAATATCCCGTATAATAAATAATTTGACACCACTGTATAACCGTTGCCCACGCGGCGATCTACATCCTCCGTTCTGGTTTCCCGATCCGACATCCTACTTACGGTGCTCCGGATACTCCCTCATGGCACTGGCATTGACATCAGCACTGACACTGTAATTCACGTAAGTACGATTCGACCAGAAAAATAAATGTTAGTCGATGCTGATGAAACTCCAATGAATATATTTAAGTTCAAAAAATATTTTAAGAGTCAACGGATATGATAACTCGCCGATACACGTGCCTCACGTCGCGTTATGTGCGTCGCTCGCCGACTCGAAACGTAATGACGCGGTTACGGCCAAATACGCAACGCACAATAGTACCAAAACAATAGACGTGGTAGCCGTAATTGTTCGCTCATGAATGACGTGCACATTCAGCGGCGAGAGACCACAGCAAAAAAACGTTTTTAAAACATCCAGAATCTCCGAGGCGATCGGAGTTATCAGGACTGTCACGCATCGGAAGCGCCCCAAACCAAATTAAAAATCTTCTACAAGTCCGGCGAATGCAGATTTATACCTCTAATAATTTTCTTCGGGCCACACATTTCACTTTGAAAACTACCAACGTTGTCTTTTCACTTCTATTTAGCCTCGTCGTTACACCAAAATTAAATTTATGTTTCTACCAATACTTCCGGGCATACAACCTTTGTCTTCATAACTCCTTCTTTTTAATCCTTTTCGAATATCCGAATCCTATCGGAATTACCAACCTAATAAAATAATAATAAAGAAATTATGATAAACGAAAGCTTATTTTATTTATCCATTGATCCCATTATTTGTTCGTATTCATTAATTGATTTTTGCCTTTTTATCGCATATTCTACCTGCAATTCAGTTAGATAATTAACATGTTGCTTACTAAAATTAATAAAAAAAAATAAAAATTTAATGTAAATAGAATATGCATTGAGATAATATTAAATAAATATCAAATATATATTTTCTACAACCGCTTGTAGAACCTAGATCTATTCCAGAAGTTCTTAACAGGTTTTCTCTTTTAATATGGAAATAATAATAGTAATTAATCACATGCCTCGAGAATCTCCATTGGTCTCTTAACGATATTTGCAGACGCAAGGTGGATCAAAACATTATCTTGGGAGTAACGTGTTCTTATTTTGGAGCTACCAATAATCAGGCGAACTAATTATTGATATCACTCGATTGATGTTTAGTTTTGTCAGCTGCTATTTCACAATAACAATGTTACAAAATGTCACAATGTTACAAATGATGTTTTCATTAATGGATGCATTTCTCGCGTATTACAGACCCGCCAGCGACCTCGGAGTGGCTCACGACGACGTAAAATCCGGTTGGCAGAAGTGCGTGTCGCACGCGTTATCGACCAGCGATAAACGCCAGATGATACATTTACGCGAGGCGCGCGAACACCAGGGTAAGTCGCTGCCGTGTTCGCGACTCAAATGAATGCCATCGCCGACAGCGGCTGGCTACAACGTGTTCCGGGGCTACTTGTGTCTGCGACGAATCGTGATACAATTCGAAAACGATTAGTATTATCTCCGGTTCGCGCCGACACCGCGGAGGAAGGAAGAAAATTTGCGAAGGGGAGCCAGCTACCAACAATGAAGCCAACGATTTATCACCCCTTTCTACCTTTAACGAAGCCCGCAGGGCACCAATGTACTCGTTCATTGATATTCTTGTCGTTAAAGGATACCAATTACTTTTGAAGCCTGCATCGAGGCAGCGTGATAATTCAGTTTTCTCTAAATTCTCATTTGTTCACACCGTGCCTTGAGAGATGCCGTCTATTTTGCAAGAAAGACGTTTTACAAGCTTCATTCGCGCGACTTCTCGACGACGCCTTTCGATAAGAAATACTGTGCAAATTTGCAAAAATATAACGCTCGGATCCGTAAACAAAATGATTGTACGACCATACGATTCGGAGAGACACGATCATCGAATTTGTTCACGTGCCTTGAGAGATGCTACCTATTTTGCAAGGAAGATCTGCGTTTACAAGCGTTTCCTTCATTCCGTCTGACTTCTCAACGACGTCCTTCGATAAGAGATGCTGTGCAAATTTGCACAGGTACGACGGTTAGATCTGTGAGGAAGCTGATCGTGTGTACCCAGTCATTCGGAGAAATACAGTCATCGAAACGCCACGAGATCGAAAGTCTCGCTTGACAAGGTGTAAGGCGTAATTGCGCGGCCGTTGTTCCCGATGTATCCGTATCCTTCGCAACCTGCGGGCGCCCGCACCTGCGCTCGGCCCGTATCGCGGCGCGATTCGAAAGCGATTAATATTATCCGTAGCTGCCGATGCGGTGGGCGCGGAGGAGAGGGGGAGAAAAGGAAGTCGAGGAGGCGCGGCCGCAACCGGCAACGAAACCAATAACTATTAATCGAAACGCCACCGCACATTCAGCAAAGTCGGCCGCGATTCGAACGCGCAGCCCTCGATTACACCCCGGCGCATCGACACACGCGTATTTCAACCACCCTAAACGCGAAGTCGTGTTTCTCTTTACGGCCCTTTCATCTTGCGCCGCTCCCGCCATTAAGCGGCCCGCGAGCGCGCCGGTGCAATGGTGTGCACCTGATCTCGATGTATGTGACTCGGTGGGAACATATTCACATGGTCCTCCTCGATTCGCGATCTTCGAAAGACGCGTCGATCTTTCGAGAGCCCGGTGAGCCAATTAAATAATGTGCTTTTGAAGTTTACCAAGCATGTATAAATTATGTCCGGGATGTTGAAGGAGAATCATGAAAGAAAACGAGTTTTCGCGAGGTATGTTGCGAACATTTGAAATTTCAAAGTTTTGAATTTAAAAGCCACCCGAGGCGTCTTCAAGACGAGTTGGAAGAAGGGGATTGCTTTTACAGCGAAGGCAATAAAAAGCAAAGATTTGTCGAAAGCTCGGCTTGCCGTTTACCCGGATCGTCTTTCCTCAGGTCGCTTTCCGAAAGGATGCGCGAATCGCGAGAGAGTATTCAGTTTATCGTCGATTAGTATATTCGTTACGTCTCGAATATTTCCTGCCAGGCTGGCACGGGGAAAACAGGATATCATAGATCCGCCTTATATGAGACAAACGATTGGAGGATAGCGTCCGGCGAGAAGGATCGAGCACTCAGGAACGACAACGCGGTTTAGACGAGATACTCGAACCTGGCATTACGTCTTCCGGTTACAGCGTGTCCGGTACAGGCGCCAAGGGAGGAACCGGCCGGGGGTTATCAAGCGGAGAACGTAGGTCGACTCCGGTCGGACTCCCGTCGTCCTTAAATTGCCACACGTAACTCGAGTGGTGACTCGGTCGCGTTCCTCTCCAACCGGCGTGGCGATCGCACGTACTGGAGTGCGCGACCGGTCCGAAGATATACGGCGAACGAATATCCGGAAGGGGCGGTCTGGAATTCTGGACTCTGTCCGAGCGGTCGTACAACGAGAGGGGCGAGGGAGGCGAAGCGAGGCGACCCCTCTGCCTCGTCGTGCACACGCGCGCACACACGCACACACGTGGCACATGCGGGGGCGCACGACCTAACAAACAATCGCTCCTGCCCCGCGGCATCGAAGGGTGAAACTGAGAACGCGGCTCTCGCAATGGAGAAATCTATTTTCGAATGAACCCCCGCGCGGATCATTTCGAGGGAAATGGATCTGTCGATATCGTTCCGGAATCCATGAGATCTCATTCTTCCATTGAGGTAATGGCGAAAAGAGATGCAACGGTTGCTCATTTATCTGATAATTAAGCTAACGTAAATTCGTTCGATGCGTATGGGACTATATTAAGAAATGAGTTTGGATGGATTTATCTGGCAATGGACGACCAAACACGTTTTGGTGGTAGAAAACGGAATTTCTGGCTGTAAGAATGAAATTTTGTTTATGAGGGAACTGGAAATTTCGTTCCCCTCGACCGAAACATATTTAGTCGCCCATCGCCAGGTAGATTCAATCAAATTCATTTTCTAATGTATATTCAATCAAATATCATTTTCTAATGTAATCATATTATCATCGTATTCCATGAAAAGTTGGAAGCTCGGAGGAAATCGATTATTCACTTTTAATTTTTGAAAATTTACGCACCTATTGGATTATCTAATTACATATATTAATACATAGATGGTATTAAACATTACGATTATATATATGTTTCGCAACGACTCACCGTAGCTGCCATGAAGAGATGATCAGGGGCGGCTCGGAGGGCGGCAGTTGTGCTTTCACTACAAGAGCCATAGCCAACTGATTTCGCTGCTGCCTTCTGACATTCTGCAACGGAGAACAATCATTAACAAACAATAATAATCCATTATTGAGGAACGCATCTGTATAAACTCCCCAGATTGTAAAATGCACAGAGTGTCCGATAATTTTCTCGGGATCGGTGACCTGCAGAACGATTAAAACTGAACGGAAAAGTAACGTATGATTTTGCAAAATTCGTAATAGTTAATGAGGAATTAATTAATCCGCGATAAAAAAATATTTGATAATAATTACCAAACGTTTAGTGAAATAGCTTACAATAACCGAGTCATTTTATTGAAATAATTTCATTAAATGTTTGGTGATTGTTGTCAAACCTTTTTTTCAGTACGTATGAGTTAGTGAGCGGGAATCGATAGCTCGGACTCTGTACGAAGAAAAATTGATTGATTTCTCCTAGCAGCGATGAGCGGCGATGAGCTTCCCGTGCGCTCATTAGCTCATACAGATTAATGAATTCCTCACTAACTATTGCGAATTCTACAAAATAGTGCATGACTTTTCAGTTCAGTTCCACTTGTTCCACTTGCACGCCACGGATCCCGAGAAAATCGTCGGACATCGTATATGTCGAGCGAATCGAGCCGCGCGATTTGGAGCGTCGTGAGCAAAACGCGCGACTTGCGACTCGCCGGGCGGCAACGAGAGCGCCGCGAAACTATCAGCGTCGGAACGTTACCGCAAGGAAAATTCTCACGGAAATTGCAGCGAGAGACGCGAACAGATATCTATGTCACACGCGTATGTACACAGCAAATTGAGGAATTCAATTTTGTGCGAACAATATTCGACGGAGAGGCCGCAAGAGTGGCATTTTTGTCTCCCGGGCAGCGACGTTGAAACATGATTTCGACTATGCGAACTCGACAAACGTGGCGCAATAACTTACGAGAGGCGCTTCAATTTTTACAAGTGACTTCCGCGAGCCCACTTCGCGCTCTTAAAGGGGTGACGAACAAAGCGCAGCGCGGTACATAGAACGTATTAAAAGCGTTATCGCCGGTTTATCTATCAACAGCCTTTTGATATTGGAAATCGCAATTTTCCGAAATTTCCCGTCGGAATTGCACCGATCACTCGCGGCGACAGCGCGTTACACAGCGGTGCCGGTGTGCGGGAATCAATTTCAGGAATTCAGCGACAAATGAACGAGAGTGTATCCGCCGACAGAGAGAGAGGGAGAGAGAGAGAAGGAGAAAGAAAGAGCGGGTGAAAGGTAATCGTAAACTAATTGGAAGTAAATTCGCTCCGGCGTAATTGCGCGTTTTAATTTGAAGCCACGCGAAAGCGCTCCGAACGGACCGTTCGCGCGGATGGGTAGAGAGGTGCACTCGTAGCGTCGTCGGCGGTCCTTCATTTGCCGTACACTTTAAAAGGACCGTATCGTAAGCTGTAATTAAAAGAATTACGTCTTCGTCGTCGTCCACGAGAGGCCACGTCCGTGAGAGCGTTCGAAATTTCGTCGCGACTATAAAACAGGAGGGCCGAAATTCTGCTCATTCCTCCGACGTCGCCGCCGGGCCGACTCGATGGAATTTTATCGGGGATTCCCAGCGCGCGATGTATCGACAATTGAACGAGCTGCAGGGCCGTCGCACGGCCGGCGGAAACGCGAGCGTTAAAAACGCGCGGGGCTGCGTATTTTAAAATGCGATAAATTAAATCCGCGCGCGGTATATTCCCCGATGTGAAAAGGAAACACAACGGAGCGATCGGCGCCGGAAACGTTATGATCACGGATATGTGAAATATTTCACATTGCGGATTAACAAACGGCGATTATTCGGTTCGCGAGCGGTAGCTACCTAACGCGCTCGCATTCATAGCCGTCAACAGCGTCGAAAGTATCGCGGATATAATCTCGTGTGTTCGCCGCACCGTGCCGAGCGAGAATTGCATATTTCGAAGGTACGTTTCTCCCTAAGCGGCCGGTACGGCGCTTTAAAGAGCAACATTTTTAAGTATTCAAGGACCGTGGCGGAGCGGCATTATGCAAATGATTGCTAATTTGCAAAATATCGTAATGAATTCCCGCCACGTCCTACCAACGAGATAATCGTTAATGGGGTGTCCGCGTAATATCATTCTAACACCGAGCCCATCCAAGTCGCATGCGTGTTTTATTCGCGTCCGTCGGCGCAACAAGAGGTAATTCCGTGACGACGGGAAAGAGGGAGGGCGCGTTTCGCGAGCCGCGGGTATCGCCGGCGAGAAAGAAAGGCTCGGGAACGAATCAATGCAATCAGAGACGACATTGTGCGGTCCGCTCCGCTCGCACCAACGAACTCGGTTTGCGCTCTACACCCCGGCAAATTAACCGAAGTTTCGCGCGCCCTCGCCAAAACTTGATACCCCTGGCACGGCCAATCAAACTTTGAGTTTCGGTAATCCCCGGGCCAAATACTCCCGTTTACACGTTACAGGTTATGGTATAAGACGGCCCGTTTCCTCGAGTTTCGCCGCCGCTAATACCCGAGTTTCCGCCGCAAGTTGTCATCCGGTGTCGGCTACAGTCGCGGGACCGCGATTTTCTCTTTCCTCCTCCCGCTCTCCCGTCTCTTCCGCCCCTCTCTCTCTCTCTCTCTCTCTTTCTATCGCTCGCTCGATCGGTCAGTCGAGGAAAAAAGGAGAGAACGAATTGTGCGAGAACGCCCAACGAAGATCGCGCGGAGCTGCGTTCGGAAATCCTACACCGAGGAAAAGCGGTTCTACAAAATCGGCGGTCTCACCCTCGTTCGGAAAAATGTTATGTCCACTGAACAAATTACTCGTTGGCGCGACAATACGTTGCGTTGATACAGTTGCCGGCCGAATTGCAATCGCTGAATCAACAGATCACTCATTACATGAATTATATAATTGGTTTAGTGGAACAAGTGTTGCGCTTGAAAACGATTGTGTTCATTTAAGCCAAATTTCGTTCTCACTGTGCTGAACGAGTAGAGTAGCGTTTACTAACCAATCAGGATAAAAAAAATCTTTGCTCTTTCTATCGCGATTAGTTAATTAAGTGCTACCTTATCCGTCAAGTATAATTTCTGAACGCACCCCATGATATTAATTTCCTCGTGTGCGCGAATCGGCCATGACACGACAACCCCTCCCCCCCCCTCTCTCCCTCTCATTACATTCTCATGACAACGCAGAATCTCTTCATTAGTGCAATTAATTCGCGAAAAATATATAAATAAGAGAGAAGCGGGGAAAAGTGACGGAAGAAAGAGAGGAGACGGCGAGGGGGGGGGGGCGAAAATGAGAAGAGTGCGGCAATCTCTATAAAACTGCACTAGTAGAAGGAAGCTAGGGAATCGAGTTCTACCAAATGGAATTACTTAAAGCAAACGCGTTACTTTTTCAGTGCCACTATCCGATCGGCTGCTTCCCTTGTTACGAAGTCGCGCAATGACCACCGGCAGACCATCCTGGCCTCCGGCTACATTCGATTCCAAGGGAAGCTTGGATGTGCGTTCCACTCCCGTTCTTGTCCCGCAGGTTCCATCAGGCCACTACCATCCTCCCACTTTCCGTCGCGCAGTTCCGTCCGAACACGGTCACATGCATATGCAAATTTATTCTGCTGGTGCATTAGTGAGCGCACTACGCGACTGTGTGCGCGCCTGTGCTCACATACGTGTGTGTGTGTGTGTGTGTGTACGTATATACACGTAGGCGGGCATGGCAGACTGCGCGTGTATGCGTGTGCGCACGGAGACCCGTCGTCCAGGCTGATCGCGGCGGAGAGGGTCATAAATTAAATGATGTAAATGCTCTGTCCACCCTCTGTCGCAGCGAGCGGAGACGACACACAACCACCCCCTTCGCGCCCATCGCTCTCGCTGCCGGCCACCCCCTCGGCCGCCAATACCGACCACCGCGTGATCGTCGCTCCCCCCACTCACCTTGACGCTAAGCCCGCCGACTGATTATAATTATCGGGACGTACACTCTGATCCAGTCCGACTCACCCGCCTGCAGGGATGAAAGCGAACGGACAGCCGCGAGAAAACGAGCGCGCGCTATCTGCCACGTTAGTTTTGCGAAATGTGATGGATGCGGCGCGCGTTTGAAGCTTATCGCGATCCGCGTGATCCGATACAACCGCGGGGACGCCTATTGGTACACCCCGGCGATCTTATCCGTCGGTTAATTAACTAATCATGAATTCAGGGCTGACTTTTGACTATATCACGTCGCCAGGCTCGACATTTTTAATCCTCCGATCAAACCTCGACTTCGGATCACGCGAGTAATCTCCCTATTACTATTCTCGTGATCCTCGCTACCGCCCAACACCGAGGAGATTTATCGCTGCCCTCCGACTTTTTCTCCTTTCCTTCCGCCGCTCCCAATCCTCGGGAGACACGCACGTTTCGGAAAGAAATCGGTACTCGAGGAAGTTACCCGAAACGTTATCTATTTATACCTCTCAATATCCGGTTCTCGCGCCGATATTTATCTCCCTTCTTTCCATCTTCGACCGTGCCGCGGAAGAGTGAGTAGGTGGATTCCCCGTCCGCGCGATCGATAAGCGCGCGAGCTCTGACCTGATTTCTCTCTGATGTTAACTCCTCGCCGAGGAGAACGCAGCCCCCGAAGCCTCCGATCCAGACGAGGGCTGGAGGATCGGCGGCAGCCGGATCGCTAAGCCCCACGCTCTCTCAATCGGATTCGAATTTGATAGTATTTGAACAGCCCACCGTCGCTCTCGTAAATTCTGCACGCAGTTTGTGTACCCCTTCCCTTCGCCGCTATACCACTTGGCTCTCTTCTTCCGCGTTCGATCCGATATTTGGTTCGGCGCAGATAACCGCTGTCGACTGTTGTCGCCCGTTTTCCTAAAGATCGAATCGTATTTGCAATGAGCCGGCAGTAACTTCCATCCGTACAAACTCCACGCGCTCTTTATCTCTCTCTCTCTCTCTCTCTCTCTCTATCTCTCGCGAATGCGCGTTCAAACAGATCCGTACAAACGAACGTGTTGATCATCGATAACAAACGATGTTCTATTGAGCGACGCTCTCCGTGCAAAGAGAAGCAAGAAACGATCGCAAGCGTCCGAAAGCTATTCATAGACGTTGAAATAGATCAGCCGGAAATAGGTACGTCGACGATTATTAATTGGCAATTAGTGAACAGCAGTCAAATTCACGCTCGTGTTGCTTGATATATTATCATAAACGTGTGAGTTGATCGTGATCATGAATTATAATGAGATAATTACATCTCGCAGGCCGCAGCTCACGGTATCGTCGCTTGCCGCTCATGGCTCGACTGCCTCAGTTCTCCGTCAGTCAAGTAGCAGCGTGCACCCTGGCCGAGATTAAGGAAGTTCAATTTCCGATATCGCAGAAGAATACGATTTCTCCGTTCGTTCGTTCGTTCGGGGTAATAAGCGGCTTGCCGCGGTTATCGTTAACAACTCGCGAGCCGTTGATCGATATGCGGCAAATTGTGCGCACCCGAGTCGGTCCTACGTATTACGAAACTATTATATATTTTCATGGAAAAGTAAAATTAAAGTTATATGTTGCAGGAAATTTACTGTATATCATTTCCCGCCTCTGACGTCATACAATCAATATAGCTGTCGAAGATAGCGGAGCCTTAAATAACTTCGAATACCACCTACAAACGCATAGCGCAGGACTTGGACCTATTCTACAGGGTCTCAATAAGTCCTTATTTAAGTCTCAACATGGAGGAAACGGAAATAAGTTTTAATCTACAGTATCGAAGGAGCACAATAGTCTATGTAACGTTATATTTGGAGATAAAAGTTACAAAGGGCGACTGTATTTGTAAGCGTAATGTAGAACTAAAATTTCGATTCGGGTAGCATTGGAATTCAATCTGTAAAATTAAAGGCTCAAAAAAGAAGTTAAAAAGTGTCAATATCATCAAAGTAAGTTTTTATTAGTCTATGGACCGTTTAAGTAGGCGCAAACTATTCTTAAGAGCGTCAGAGCAGCATCAGAATTTCGACTCGGGTCGGTTATCCATTTTGCTCTTATGAAAGTTATTTATCCAATCCGACGCACGAAGCTCACGAGCCTTGTTTCGAGTCCATACGATATACGTTCGCGATGTTCGCGGCCGAGCTTTCATCCCGAACGCAAAGCCGATGAAAATGTATTGGCTGTAAATAACGTCAGTCGGATTTCGAAGACGGGCGCGCTTACAAGAAGATAAAATCAACTTGACCCCGTTTCATCCCCAGCCGCGCGTTCTCAGCTTCTTGCGCGCTCCTCGTATTGTCCTCCTCGTCGCTCGGCGATCGGAGGAGCCGGTAATCGCTGATGAAAAATCGTATTCGGAGCCGACTTGACGACGAAGAAGACGTGATCGCGTGACGTCGGCGAGAGTAACTGCACTTTTTTGATGACTTCATTCCGTCGTGTGCACACGCGCATTCGTCCATTCGCCTATCGCGAGCGAGAGAGAGAGAGAGAGAGAGAGAGATAAAGAAAGGGTGAAAGTGACGCCTGCTAGACAGCTCACGTTATTTGATTTTACGGTCGAATTTATCGGGACATTCTAGTTTCGGTTGTCATTCAATTAATGCTTATTCTAATGCTGCCATTACGTCAACTGCCAGTTACGATTAACCGCGCCGATTGATTTTAAACGGCGGCGGGCGAGCAAAAAAATTCCGATACCTCGCGGTGTTTGTGCAATCCGGGATTACACGCTTAATATGCAAAATGTATGTATGCATGTACAACGGTATCGTAATTATGATGATCAACATGCCGTGCTTTCCATATCAATACCGACGCAATTATGCGCGTGTGCCTTCTGCACACGTGGAAATGGCCAATATTGATCGCGCGGAGGGACGGCGTAGAAATTTGTATTTTCAAAAATCTCGGTGTCATCGGCCGTCGAAGTGACCGCACGGCAATTATGTCGTTCATAAATCAAGCACGTGGGCGAACGGCAACGGAGGAGAGGTATCGCGATATAAAAGTCGCATAAATCGCGCAAACCCGATGATCTAACTTCGCGAGCCAACGGTAGTTAGGCAAGTTTCGGGATTGGTTTCCTGCGGGTTCTGTAATATTCAACTTCGCGTGCTCGTCGCTTCCGCTCGGAAATTTTGATGGAGATTTTAATCGAATAAAAGGAAGCAAGAGGCGAATGCACATAGAAACAAAACGGCCACTTTTACACGGCGATGGGTGCTGAATATTCAAGGTGGGAAGACCGGAACGTTCGTCATTCCGGCTCTCATCTGGCAATGATGCGCGTGCACTATGGTTTTATGAAAAAAGAAAGAAAAACAAGAAAAAAAGGGAGAAAAGAAAAATAGAAAATAGAATTCCAAAAGAGGAGAGAAGAGAGGAACGAACGTCGACATTATTATTGAATAAATGCACTCGCGCATGTAGCGATTCGGCGTTCGATTTAACTGTAATTTAATGTCGCGTCTGTCACGGAGATTCGAGGAAATATTCGCACGATAAAGGCCTCAACTTGATTGCCACCGTGCGCGCTCCCTCCTGTTAGTACGTATCAGTGCAAGATCGAGATATGTAGATACATACGAGGAGGAAGTTTAATTTAACCACGAGGAACCCGCTAAGGTTTCGTCTACAACTGTTTTGTATATATAACGTTAAGGTAGAACGGGACGGTTAAATTAAACTTACACAAGTAACGGTATTATCTCTCTTGCCGTTACCATGTGCCCCCCTGCCCCCAGTCGCCCTCCTCTGCCTTTGCCATCCTCCCTTACAAAAGCAGTTCTTGCATTTACATGACCAAACGTCTCGCCCGTTAGAGATCCAAAATGGCTTTCTCCAGTATATTCCGTAACTGCCGCGTTAACGGGATACGGGTCAAAATTAAGTTTCCCAGTGCGCCGACATTAATTCGTCGAGACATTACAGGATAAGTTAACAGGCTTTTACACCGGTAACGTAGTTACGCTTCGTTACGGAAAATTCGATCAGGAGACACGAAATATTTAAACCGATAATCGTTCGACGTAACACCCTCTCTCGCTGGAGTCTGCAGCGGCGTATCCGACATAAGCGAAATATCCGAAAAGCGACGTGGCTGATACCGCACGAGCGATCATTTCGTCGAGCAACTGCGGAAAATACCGATCTCGCGTCGCGAGACGCCGTTCGCGCTATTAAAATTTAACGCGAGAGCGAGCGCGCGCGTGAGAAGGGGAGCTCGAGATAAAAATTCACCGAGCAACAAGTACCCCCCAGCCTCCTTTCAGCCTGTCGAACGTGTTCTACGTGATTCAGCGTGTTATTGGCCCCTTCAATTATATCGACGTTACGTCGATCATTAATGCGCCAATTCGCGCACTTATCTCGACGTAACATTCCTCGTTGAATTTGTGAACTCTCGCGCGCACGTCGAATCACAGCCGATCCGCAGAGAGAGAGAAAGAGAAAGGAAATGGTAATCGGAATAATTTGGCTGTCGCTATAAAAATTCGCAGTCCCCGTCACCGTTCGTCCCCGTTCGCCCGTCACCATCCCCCGGCATCGTAAAGCATAGGGACGCAGCTGCGTATCACTGCGCTCGCCTGTCTAAACGAAAGATACCGCCGCCCGCGCGTCGTTTTTGCGTCGCTACGTCGCATTCATCTCGCGCCCGAGCCTTTTTCCCCCATCTCCCCCCGCCCCGCCCCTTTCTCCCGCGCTGCATTAAATTTTTATATCATCCCGCGTTTACGACTTAAGTTTGTACAACGAAATTTGGTCGTCTACTCGGAGCGGGTTGAAGCACCGAAGGCAACTAAACTAATTCAAGCACGTAACGTGATGTTCAAAAGGCGACACCGCCGACCAGCCGGCCGAGTCTTTTTCTCTTTCTCGCTCTCTCGCTCCCTCTCTCTTCAGCTACGCGCTGTTATCCTTTACGTCGTAAAGCGTATGGTCGTGTTCGCGTGGAAGTATAAAGCGCGTATTTTCCCCCGAGATACGCGAGGCGCGTGTCCGCTGAAACGTAGTCCCCGTCTAGCCCGCGTTATTCTTTCTACGTTCTTTTCAAATCGTTGGAACTTTAATTGCGCGCGCGCGAGGCTAAATAGCGTTTCGCAGCGAGAAAGCGCGCACTGAAACAAGCTCGGCTCGGCTCATTGTTACGCGGAGAGATCTTAGCGCGTCTTACGTTACTCGTCCCCGTGGAACAATGCGCGCTCAAAATTTGGAAAAATGAGACTTTAAGGAGGCTTTAAAGCTCAATGTCGTATTTTCAGTGGAGCATCAAGGGGACCGTTTATAATTTTCGTATTTATCAAGCACAATTTTGTTTTCATATATGCTTATTTCACTACCTAAGTAATAAATTTTACTTTGAAACGAAGTTGATGCAAACAAATATACAGCGACCTATTTTTATTTCTTCAGGTCTTTTTTCGAAAAATACGCATTTTTTAGAAAAAACGTTCGCACCATCTGTCCTCCTTGATATTCTACAACTTTTGCATAAAACATTTTTCTCAAAAATGCATATTTTTCGGAAAAAAGGCCTGAGGAAATAATAATAGGACGCTGTATATTTGTTTACATCAACTGGGACACCCTGTATATATACAAAATATCACAAATATAAAAATATCGTTATTTTATATTTTTCTTATTAGTGCTATATTTATGCATCAGTTGGTGCAATAGAATGCACAGATAGGAAAACAAATATATAAGTATTTAAATACGTGCATATGTATGTGTGTATCGAATATTACTATAAATTATGAAATTTACATCGTTGTATTTTCAAAGTAAAATGAACAATAATTCTGAAATTTATGTACAATGTGTGCATATTAGTCTTTCTCTGTTTTCCGTCAAATTCTTATTTTCATTTTAGA